TCCCCCTCTTGCGCCCCTCTGAGTCCCCCTTGCCCTCGGGGGGGAGGCCCGATCCCCGACGACCGCCAGAGCCGCGACCGAGTTATGATGCGGCCTTCTCTGGCACCCCGCCGACCCCAAGGCCAAGCCGAGGAGAAGGAGGAGGAGGAGGGGCGGAGAAGGAGAAGTAGAGATGAGGCGAAGAAGGAGAGGATGAAAATAACAAGGAAGAGGGAGGAGGCAAGGGAGGAGGCAAGGGAGGAGGCAAGGGAATGGATAGCAAGGAAGCGCCTGGCGCCGAAGCGGGGAAATCGCCCGAGCAGGCGTGGGGCAGGGGCAGCTGGGCGGCACGTGGGAGAGCGCGCAAGGATAGCTTGGCTCGAACGGGCAGGCGCCAGAGTATATGCAACGCTCAACGCTTAGCGATCCTGCTGAGACTGGCGTAGCAGGACCGCGAAATGCACTTGGCGCAGCATCTTGGGGCTTCATTACCTCCCACGGCTTGATTTCCATCAGATTTCTCTTCCGCCTGTGAGGCGCAAATTTTCCATCGCATTTTCCATTGCGATGGAAAATGAAGTGGGAACCATTCTCCACCGCATCCTGCCGGAGACATATGATCAATCCCGTCGTTTTCCACCGCATTCTCCAATGCATTGGAAAATGATTTTCCACCGCATTTTCCACCGCATAATTTTCGCCGGTCTGAGTATGGTTTTCACCGGTCTGGGCCGTGCATTGGCCCCCAAAGGCCAAATGTGCCGAGGAAGGGAGGTAACTCTTGATGGCCCTCTAGCTGCAATGAAACTTCGAGGGTTGAAAGCCTCGCTAAAAAAAAAAAACAAAAAAAAAAAAAAGTAAAAAAAAAAAAAAAATGGCCCCCGCTGCACAGACATGCGCCGTTACACATGGCAACGAAATGTCCTCAGAGCCACTGAACGCACTGAGAACAGAAAGTAGAGGAAAGAAAAACAATGGTAAAAAAAAAAAAACAAACAAAAAAAAAAAAAAATAAAAAAAAAAAAAGTTGTGTGAAGCTAAAAAAAAGAAAACAAAAACAAAAAAAAAAAGGGAAAAAAAAAAACAAAAAAAAAAAAAAAAAAGAAACAATAGAAAACAAAAAAAAAAAAAAAACAAAAAAAAAAAAAAAAAAAAAAAAAAAAAAAAAAGGAAAGAAAAAAAAAAAAAGAAAAAAAAAAAAAAACTAGAAAAAAAAAAAAAAAAAAAAAAAAAAAAAAAAAAAAAAAAAGAAAAATGATCTTTCATACGCCCAGATGCAACCCCCTCGGAGTTATTGAAACCGCTCAGAAACAGCACGTCACTGCCCGTCCGCCTTCTGGGTTCCCAGCCTGGTCATCCTGGAGGAGTGGCTGTCCATCAAGATGCCGATGCTGCTGGCCAGCGTGTCGAGCTGGGGGTTCAGAAGCGCGAGGCTGTCGATGCCGTCGTTGTAGCGATCCTTGCCGAGCACGGCCCTCAGCTTCGCGAACTCCTGGCCCACGATGAGCTTAAGCGTATCGTCATTCATGATCACGGTCATGACCTTTTCGAACTCCTGGTTCATCTTCGGGCATTCCGGATCCGTCTTGGCGAAAGCCCACGTGGCGACGGTCTTCGCGTTGTTGTTGATCATGGCGACGTTAGCGCTCAGCGAGCTGTAGCGCATCAGCGCCTTCCTAGCCGTCGCGGTCTTCTCTTTCTGGGCAGCCTTATTCTCGCTCTCCTGCGCTGCCCTCTTAGCCTCAGCGCGCTCCCTCGCCTGCCTCGCCCTTTTCTCCTTCGGCGTCTCCTCCTTCGGGGCCTCCTCTCCTCCTGTTGCCACCGCGCCCTCGCTGCCGCCATCGCCGCCCGTCTTGCCGATGCCCTCCTTACTGCTGCCCGTCTTGTCGTCGCCCGTGTTTCCGCTGCCCGTCGTCGGCGGCGGCGGGTCCGACGGCGTTTTGCCAGTGATCCTCTTCCGCTTCTTATCGGCCTCTGCCGTCGCGGCCTCGGCCTCGGCCGTCTGCTCCAGCTCCTGCGCAGGGGGGGAGGGCGTGACGGACGGGTCTCAGGAAGACGAAGTGGACGAGGAGGGGGATGGGGGCTCAGGAGGAGGGCTCAGGAGGAGGAGGAGCAGGAGGAGGAGGAGGAAGAGCCCCCCTCTCTCCGCGCCCTCTCTTCCCGCCCCTCCCTCCGAGGTTTCCGACGGCGTCGGAAACCTCGGCGGCCTTCTCCTCCTCCCCCTCCTCCTTTTCCTCTTCCTTTCATCCCTTTGGCTTCCCCCAGGATGGGGGGCGAGGGGAAGGAAGAAGCAAATGCAACAGCAAATGAGGAGGGGGAGGAGGGGGGGCATAAGCAGCCGGATGAGTGACGAAATTCACCCCGAATGTCCGCGATCTTCTTGTCGAGGACCCCCTTCGGGTTGTTCTCCCACTCCTGGTGCGTGGACCACGCCTGGGTGAAGGTGTTCATGAAACCCTTGGTTGTATGCAAATTGTGTTTGCTCCGCGATCGGGGCTGATCAATCCAGGGATTGATAAGGGTAGATCGAAGCCAATCAGTCAAGGAATCGAGGAGGAGGAAGAGCAGGAGGAGGAAGAGCAGGACCAGGGAAGAGGAAAGAGGAGGAGGAAGAGGAGGAGGAGGAGGAAGAGCAGGACCAGGGAGGAGGAGCGAGGAGTGAGGAGGAACGAGGAGTGAAGAGGAGCGAGGAGTGAGGAGCGACGATCAGTACAGGGACTAATCGGATCGAGTTGACCAAATGATCTACTCTGCGCGATCGCCATGTGCGGCCAAGCGGGGCGCAGTCTCCAGATAAAGGCACCTCAATGATTCTGTGAGCGGGCAGTAGATTATCCACGGGGGGCCCATCTGCATGCACTTGCTGAAGTACTTGGATGCCTGGGCTGGGCATCCGCATCCTCCATCCCCTGCCGCACCCCGAAAGACCCCCATCTGTTCCACGGACATCCTCTCCCCCACTGCCACCCCCCCTAGCTCCTCCCTCTCCGTCCACTCCCATTCCCTCCCCCCATCCTCCTCTATAGGGACCCCGCGGGGGCAGGGGCCCGGATCCCGTCTAATCACGCCTGGCGCCCGAGATCGGGCCAGCGGGTTGAAACCAAGAGGGGGGAGTGCCCTGGCGTTTTGTTCCGAGCGGCCTGCATCCAGCCCAACTTTCCACCTCCTTCCTCCACTGCCACTCTCCCGAGCGGGCGGTAGATGCCCTTCACGAAATCCTGCTTCGCCTCCGTAATGACGAGGGAAGCCTTCTCCTCATGGGGGGGCGGCAGTGTGACTACCTACCAAACCACCCCAACCCAACCCGAAGACCCGAATTTGACCCGAATTCGGGTTGGGGGGGGTACGGGTTCCATGTGTTTTTTCGACGTTCCCCGACCCCCCCCCCACTGGAAATCGAGGATAAATTGAGGCCTTCGGGTTGGGTTGGGGTGGTTTGGTGGGTGGTGAGCAGTGGGGAGCGGGCGTCGTCGTCGTGGCCGTCATCGTCGTCGTCGTCGTCAACAGGGGATCTTAAATTTGACCCCGAGGATCCTTCGCAGTATCATATTCCTTTTTTGCCCACTCGGTGCGGAAAGCTGCTTTTTTACAGTTTTTTCCAACACCAGTAATCGCATCGTATTTGGCCTTCATCGCCGGATCCTCTTCCGTGGCTCGTTGCCATCGCCCCGCCACTGATGAGACTCTCCCATCTGTTGAAACAAACCAGTTTCCGTTTTTGATTTCCTCCCAAAAAGCGAGCTCGGCCGAGACTGTCCCCTTGTTGCGGCCAGCACTCGCCTCGGCCTGGGTAGGGGCGGTGGTGTCGCCGGATGTCTTGGGAGCCGCGTGCAAGCCCCAGCGTGCTGGCTTGGTCAGGTGGCCGTCGGCGTCGACGTCTTTGAGCAAGCTCTGCATTGTCGAAGTCAGATCAATATGTCCTGCAGATCGTCGTCGTCGTCGTCGTCGTCGTCTTCGTCGTCGTCGTCCTCGTCATCGTCCTCGTCGTCGTCGTCTTCGTCGTCGTCGCCGTCGTCGTCGTCGTCCTCCCCCCCGCGGGGATGCAGGGGGGAGGAAGTATAAGGGGAGAGAGCTGGAGGAGGCAGGAGGAGCGGGAGTGGGAACATGAGGAGGGAGTGGAAAAGGCCAGGAGCAAGAGGAGCTGGAGTTAAGGGGGGCGTTCAACTGCCAGCTCCTTTCTCCGCCATCACATCTTTGATCTCCTGGCAGCCCCACGCGTTCCTCATGGCTGCGTCGATGCGCAGCTCGTCGATGCCGTCGAGCCTCTCCTGGATGCAATGCTTGATCGACTCCTGCAACGGGGGTGGATGGAGCAGCGGATGGGAGCTCGAGCGAACGACATGGAGGAATGACCGAGCGATCCAGACGGCGGCGCCCAACGACGCAGACGGGGGGCACGAGCGACTCGGACGAAGGCCTCTATGAAGCTTCCCCCGTGAGTCGATCGACACCCCCTGCCCGCGTCGTTGGATTGCGCCATCTGAGTCTCTCGCTCCCCCTCTCCGAAAGTAAGGAGCATACCAAGGGCCAATGCACACCGAGGGGGAGAGGGGTACCTAGGCGTCTTCGATGCGAGTCCAGTGGTTGGCGACGCGTCTTTCAGACGGAGGCCCAGAGCTCTCGAACCCATCAGAGTCAAACAATTCTCGAACCCTAAGTATCTCAGTCAGGCCACTCCCGCTGTCGTCGTCGTTGTGTTCCTCATCGCTCCTCCCTCGCTCATCTCCTCCTCCACGTCGTCGTCTTCCCATCCCCCTCGGTCCTCCCCCTCCTCATCATCATCATCCTCATCCCCGTCAATACGCCTCCTCCACCTCATACCTCTCCCCTCCTTACCGGATGCCCAGCGGTGCCCGAAACATAGAGGTGCATGGAGGAGGAGGGGCGAGGGGAGGCTGGGGGAGTGAATAACGGGATAAATCATAACGATGATGATGATGACGATGATGGTGTTTTTTCTCGTGGCCCCTGCTCTCAAGCGAGAGCTGAATCCCATCCATGGCGAGCGCGACGACCGAGGGCTACATGTCCCAGGGGTCCTCATCGATGGTTGGCAACCTGAACTTCATGGGGCCCTTGGGCATGTCGGCCACGATCACTGACTTGTCAACCTGGTCCGTCTCACCCGCGGCGGTGCCCTTGGCCCCGATGCTGCCCTGGCTCGCGCGCACGATCTTGCCGTTCGTCGCCGCGGAGTCCGTGGCCTTCGGCAGCGCCTTGGGCGTGGGCTCCTTCGGCACGGTCGGCGTTGCTGGAGTGCTCGGCGCAGCCTTCGGCACCGCCTTCTCCAGGTCCTTGGGGCTCTCCTTGTCGATGTCCATGGCCACGGGCTCGGGAGTCGCTGGCTCTGGCTTCTTTCCCCCCTTGCCCTTCGCTTTCGCCTTGGCCTTCGTCTTCGCCTTGGCTTTCGGAGTCGGCTTGGTGTCCTCGCCTGCGTCTGCCGCCTCGTCCGTCTCTCCATCCTCGGCCTCGTCCTCAGCGGGCTTATCATCTCCGAACTCGGCCTCCTCCTCCTCGTCGGGCGGCTGCTTCTCGGACTGCTCAGCGCCCACGCCTTTGCCCGGATTGGCCGTCTCCCCTGACGCCTGCTTCTTGCCCTTGCCTTTGGCCGTGCCCTCCTTCTTGCGCGTGAGGAGCCATTCGTTCTTCTCGGCCTCCGCCTTCGCCTTGTCGACCTCATTCTTGCAGAAGCGCTTCGCAAAGTCGATCATGAGCGCCTGAGCGGCCTGATCGTGCTTGGGGTCGTAGCCAATCAGCTGCATCCATTGAGACGAGCCGCACTTGGTCTGAATCCAATGGCCCCTGGACTTGTGGTTCACCTTGGCCACCCTCACCGTCTCCTCGCCCTTCTCCTTGGTCGTGCGGGTGCCCTCCCAGATCCCAAGGTCGACCCTCGTGGACTTCTCGTTGCTTACGTCGTCCTCGGGCGAGGTTCCAGGAATTGCCCACTCCATGCCGTCGGGCCACGTAGCGATCAGGGTCGGCGCGTCGCCTTTCTTCTCCCCCCTGGCGTGTTCTGGCACCACCTCTCCCTCGCGGCACCTCCAGGCAGCCTGTGCGGCGAGGAACTTCAGATGGGCTACTCCTATTGTGATCCCAGGCCCCCTCCCGAAATCCACTGCAAAATCTAATGCAATGGAAAATGCATTGGATTTTGACCCACCGGCTTTTTTAAGCTCGACCTCGCCGAGGTCTGAAAGCATACAGAGTGCGTTAGAGGGCGGGGTGTTCAGGAAATGGAACCGTCATCGTAGGAGTCCATCCGAAGTTCCACCCGTCGCGGGTCTCCAAGATGTCGAGCTTGGAGGAGGTGCCCTTCTGCTTCTGCTTCTTGTTCGGGATGGGCTCCGCCGCGGCCGCCGCAGCCGGATCGGCCGCGGCCTCCATCGGGCTGGAGGCGCTTGCTGCCGCTGGCCGCTTGAGAAGTGGGCCCTTCGACTTGCCGTTGCCCTGAGCCTCCTGCTGCGGCTCCTCCTCATCATCATCGTCACTTTCGTCGCCCACCTGGTCTCCAGGCTCGTCCTCGCCGTCGTCCTTGAAGACATCCGCCCACTTGACGGTCCTGGAAGAAAGCAACGAGGACTCGTGGCACCAGTCCCCCCGACAGCGATTAGTTTCGACACTGCTTTCGTGGGGGAACGAAGCACAAACTGCATCAACGTTTCACCCCCGAGGTCTTGGAGACCGCCTGCGAAACATGTCGCAGCATCGCTCTGATTTGCTTCGCCGTGTCACGCGACCAGGCCCTGGCCCCCGACGCGACCAGGTGCCACGACTCCTCGTTGCGCATCGCGACCTTCAGGAGAGCATCCTGGGGGAGGCGGAAGGCCGATCGAAACAGCGGCCCCGAGCGGGGGGGAAACTTAAGCCCCTGAAGGCCGAGCTCGGCCGAGCTCGTACGAGCTCGGCCGAGCTCGTGCGACGACGACGACGACGACGACGACGACGTCGTCGTCGTCGTCGTCGTCGTCGTCGTCGTCGTGGTGCATATGACCCCTGTCCTTCGCTGTGGACTGGCTCATGTATTTCTGCACGTCGCGCGTCTCGCGCAGGAGATCCTTGTTTTTGAGAATGAGGGCCTTCTGGACGGGGCACTCGGACACGTTCCCAACCGCGTAGTCTACCTTCTCCGCGGTCGTGATGTGGAAGGCCCAAACTCGGGACAACTGCTTGACCAACTCCTGCGTCGACATACTGTTGTCGACGTCCTTCTTCGGGGCCATCCACGCTCGCCTATGGGCCGTGTTGGCCAATCAGAGGCCTTCACATGCAAGGCAAACTCGGTTCGGCCCCGCTCGAACCTAAATGATTACGGAATGATGCGATGAGAGGGTCGGTGGAGGCGATGGTGGAGGGGGAGAACGGGGGGCAGTGGGAGCGCGGGAGTTGAGGCTCATCCCCAAGAATACTTGCATGGACATATGAGGAGGGGACCTGCATGGGCGGGAGGGTGTATAGCAGCATCGTTGATGCATCCCGGATTGCCGGGTTCTCTCTGGTCATTCTCCTCCTCCTTCTCCTCCTCCTATTCCTCCTCCTCCTCCTGTGCAGGACCTGGGCCGCGCTGAGCCGTCTTTGGGGGGCGAGCTTGGCGCAAATCCAACGCAAAATCCAATGCAATTGAAAATGCATTGGAATTTCAAGCGCCGCGTTGGATTGCCGCCAAACCCGAACCTCAAGGACTGCCCAGCGCGCAAGGAGGATAACAGCAATGAGAAAGGCAGGGGCGGGAGTGCTCCTCGAGCTCGTGGAAGATTTCCTGCGCCCTGCGCGAAGAAGGCCGGACCAGCTTCTCTGGCGTCGCTGGGTGATCCTCGGGGCGGGGGAGGCGAGACGGAGCGATTGCGACGTCGACGACGACGTTGACGACGACGACTCCGACAGCTACGACGACGATCATCACGACGACGACGACGATAACGGCTACGACGACGACCTAGACGACGACGACGACGACGACGACGACGACGACGACGACGACGACGACGACGACACTGGAGTGCTGTCCTCGTCGTCGTCGTCGTCGACGTCGAACGCGGAGGTCCAACCAGAAGCGAGGGACAACGTTGGCGACAAAGGCGGATACTCGATGAGGTTGAGGAGCGGGAGGACGAGCAGGAGCAGTAAGAGAAAGAGGAGGAGGACGAGGAGGAGGATAAGGAGGCGGTGAGGGAGGAGGATACGAGGAGCACGAAGAGGCGAGGAATGATGATGATGACTAGGAGGTAGGAGGAGGAGGAGGAGCAGGGGGAAGACGCGGGACGAGGAGGAAGCGGAGGAGGAGGAGGAGGGAGGGGAGGAGTTGGACCCCCCCGCGGAAACTGCCCTGGATCGGGCGCGGCCCCCGGATCGAGAGCGGCCGCCCCCCGAGCACGTCCTCGACCCTCCTGGACTTGTGATCTCTCATGGAGGTCGCCACGGCCTGCGCGACCTGCTCTGCCTCCTCCTTCTCCGCCGCCGCCCTCTTCTCCTCCGCCTCCTTTGCGAGCCTGCGGCTCTCCTCCCAGCGCTGCGTCTCCTGGGCCGCATCCGCCGCGAGCTTGCGACTCTCCGCGAGCACGGACTCGTCGTCGGTGGGCTTCCTCGCCGCCTCCGCCTCCTCGAGCCTGCGCCTCTGGTCGGCGATCATCGCCTCTTTGGCAGCGTCGTCCACTTCGATCGTCGGCGAGGCCTGCTCCGTTGGGATGTCCCCCTCATCCCCCTCCAGACTCAAGCGCCAGGCCGCTGCCGACGGCTGCCTGTCAGGAGGCAACGTTTCGGGCTCCGAGTGGCCCTCCAACGTGTCGAGGTCGATCGCGCCCTGATCTCTACCACTGAACCGAGGGACGTGGGGCATATTGGATCGGCAACGGCGTCGGTGGCTGGCTTAGCTCGCCCTGCGGAGCGCTGCTCTCGACCGTCTCGACGGAGTCACTCTTATGGCGGACGTGCCGCTCGGAATCCACGACGCCATGGCCGCGCTTCCCTGTCTCCTGGGACTTATCGTCGAACTGCCGAGCGAGGCTGTCCAAGATCCATGACTCGGAGGGGCCACCACGCCCAGCTGGCTGACTTGGCGGCTCGGGGTCCTCAGCTGCCTGGTGGGGCGGAGCTGGCTCACCATCGCTCTCGCCACCGCTTGGCGCCGCCGCGCCAGCAGACCGCGGCATGCTCGGATACTCGGCCGGATCCTCGGGCCACTGGGCGGCGATGGCCATGGACGCCTCCTGCGTCGCCGTCCCCGAGTCATCGGCCAGAGTGTGGACCGACATGGCCCCGCGAATCAGGCAACGTCCGACGGGAGTTTTCCAACAGAACTTCGGGATGTGCCCTGCGCTCACTTTAACCATTCTCCAGCCAAAACGGCTATAGAGGGGGAGGAGGGAGGAAGGAGGGATGAGGAATCCAAATCGGGGGTTCGGGTTCACCGCACAAGCCCTGCACTGCACCCTCCGCCGGGTCCAGAGGACTGGATTTCGGCGCGCCCCCCACGAAGATCGCCGAGGGAAATGTACCCCCCCCAGACGCAGATGTCATGGATGGAGGACGGGCCCTTTTCAAAAGACGCTCTCCCACGAAATCCGCGGCCCTCGAGATGGCACCCGAGGCGTGTGAGTTCGTCTTTAGCTCCCAGGCGCGCGACGGGCTCCACTCGGGCGCAACGGGCGTATGTCCGCACCCCCGACAGCGGGGGCCCAGGCGCGCCAACCTATCCGTGGGTCGCGATCGTGGCCCCGAGGCTTGCGATTCCCGAAAAAAATGCCCCACGCGCAATCCGCAAGCCCCTAAGGGGCCACCCATGCGCGTCTGTCTAAAATCCCGATCGGGCGTTTTGATGTTTGCCCCCACGCGAAATCCGCGAGCTCCGATGGGAGTTGTGAGTCACGGCGATCATGGTTCGAGGGCGGGTCCTTTTCAAAACGCGCTCTCAAACGAAATCCGCGGACTCGAATCTGGCCCCCGAGGCGCGTGAGTCCGCCTCTCCGCGCGGAGGGCTCCACTCGGGCCCTAGGCGCATGAGTCCGCGGGGCCCCCAGGCGCGCGGACATATCCGCGGGCCAAGATCGCGGCCCCGAGGCGTGCGAATCCCGAGAAAAGGCCCCCGATAAGGGAGGCAGCGTTTCGATTTTTGGCCCCGCGCGAAACCCGCGAGCTCTCATGGGAGCTGTGAGGCGTGCGAGTAGTCCGCCGCTTCCCGATCGGGGTGCCCTGGCGAAAGTGTGCGCGAATTCGTGTTCGACCATGAAACAATGTTTCATTGTTGTGTGTTTTCTTGTTATCACAACTACAGACTCTATAAAATAGAATACTCTATTTTTTTGCTGCGTTCTCATTTCAACTCTATTTTATAGAGCTCTGGATCCTCAGGGTTCCCAACCCAACACCGGTTCGACGATATCGTCTTGATATTCTGGCCAGTCGAAGGCTGCCAGAGCAGGGCAAGATATTGGGCGAGCGTGCTGATCGATTTTTGTCTTCCACAGCAATGGCCACCAGACCTGGATCACAGGAACCTGCGTTCTCGCTCTCGCGGCTGAGAACGCAAGCCATTCAATGAACCTTCGGGTCAAGGGCTTCAAATACTGGAAGAAATGGCCATGGCGAGCCAGCGGCTGAGCCGCGGCGTCCGTTGGAACCCAAGCAGGGAAATTGCCTGGCTGGCTGTTCCCAAAAATCTGACCTGCTGAAGCCATGCGCGTAAATTCCCCATTTACCCACTTTCGCTCCTGCTGTTGGTTACTGCTGATGTTCTTCATCACACTCGCAGAAGCCCTCTGTTGTCTTCTCCCACGCGCTTTGATCCACTCAGGACGCGTGTTGGGAAGATTGCAATGGTCATTCACATGTAATCTAAATCCATCTGCCTCAAGGGATCGCGGAATTATCCTTCTGTTCCACGTCTGAGTCTCCGCTGGAAGCGGCGGAGCCAGCCGATGGCGTGACGTGAACAGGGATGGCTATGTCACCCGAGGCCGAGCCACTCACCGAAACGGCTAAGCCGCTCGGTGCCGTTGCCGGCGCTGCCTTTTGCAGCTCGTTCAGCGCGGTGCGCATATGCTCGTCATTTTGCACGCCTTCTTCCTCCGATATTTGGTTTTTCCCTCTCGGCGACATCCCTGGGCAGAAAATTCCTCCGCGCGGCAAGAAGTAGATGTCGTCTTTCCATGGGGCAAAATCCTCATATGCCATTCCCCGCTTGAGAAAGTTCACAGAAACCTTTGAATAATATGAGTGTATAGCGCCACCTCCAGAACCGTCTGAGACGGCTGGAAAATCATCTCTGCCCAAAACTGACCTGAATGGGCGAGCATTGAGCATGGACGTGGGCATGTTGCCCGCGGACGGGGCCCAGTTCTGCCAGTGCATGACTTGCTCACTAACGGCCGCTTCCTGCTGAGCATACCCGCCCTCTCTCGTCGCGCACGTTATGCGGCCATTCCGCGCGGCTGAGCCGCCGGAGGTTGGCAGAAGAATAACACGGCGAGCTTGGCAGTTTTGGCCAAGTAGTCTGCACGCAACTGGCCAGCGTTCGCGCTCACTATTTGCACACCATTGTTCAAATTGCAGCCCTGGTGGTTCGCATTAAAGTGAAAGGTGTCTCCTGAGCGATGCCTAAGCTGTCGGTGGAGGCTCACTCCGTCGAGGATCATTATCCTAGGAATCATTCCTATGGCTTTGTAGCGTTCGATCCGACGGTTCATTCTGGCCCGAACAAGGGTGGCAACATCGCCCCACATCGGGTCTGCGCCACCTCCATCAACCTGCCAGCACTTGTGGTCCCCACCAACATACATAATCTCAATCGCCCCATCGGATGAACGGCCCATCGCGTCGTCCACCAGCTTGACCGCATCCTCTACCATTGTTCTGAGGCTTCCTGCAAATGCGAGTGGGTTTTCCTGTCTTTTTGGCCCAGTGCCAACTCCGTTCAACTCGCATGTGTGATCAACAATGTCGTTGAAGTTCCAAAAGGTGAAGCGTGTCGGAGTGTGGGTCCCCTTCTTGAAGTGCCCATTCTTGCCCCACTGAAAGTTTGAAAAAGCCTCCCGAATGGCCGAGACCAAAGCTCCACTGCTGGCGTTCTGTGAACTTCCAAACACGGTTTCTCCCAGGTTGTACTCAGGGAGCAGGCTAGACTTCGCCTTCCCGGGTCCATCCTTGAATACAGTTGTGGAATCTGACACAATGTGAAGAGAACAAGACCAATAAGTATTCGACCCACTCTTCATCAAGCACAGTGGGCGGAAGAAATCTGTCACGGGTTTCCCTGTGTCTGACATGGCCGCAAGGTCCTCTCCTATAAATGGAAACCGCGAATGTCCGTTGACCCTGGCGATTTGCGAGATGGCCTGACACTTCTTAAGAAATCTCAGTTTGACTGCCCAGGTCTTCATCATTGGGTCTGTGATCCCAATATAAAGATCAAGGATCTCGTTCACCTTCTCCTGCCAGTCGTTGGTGGGGGCCCTGGGATTGGCCGCAAAATCTCCCTGCGTCCGAAGATAGTCTAAGACGTTCCAGGGACCTCGCCCAATGTAGGGCGGGTCATCCGGCTCAGCTTCGACTGCGGTTGGACCCGACTCAGGCGGTCCATCCCCTCCACCACCTCCTGAGGAGGGGTGAGCGGGTGGATTATATCCCGAGGAGAAACCGCCTGACCCTGGCGGAGCTCCACCGCCGCCGGCTGGGCCGGGGGGTGAGCCGCCACCAGATGCCCCGCCGGCTGCGCTGGGAGGGTCAGTATGACCTGAGGTTGGGTCGGCGGATGATCCGCCGGCCGCCTGCTGTCCGGCTCCAGGGCTGCCCAAAGAGGGCTGGTTGCCGTGCGAGGCT